TCTTCACCTGCCCCCCGCCCCCCATGGACCTGGATATCTGTCTGGGACATTGCACATTAAATACATAAATTTACAAAAATAAAAATTAAATGGAAGAAAAATAGCAAATGATAGCTTTAGCTATCCACTTGACGCTAATCATCTCTCTCATCATTTAGGTGATGAGTACTCAGATAAGGGCTTCCTCTCAGGATGACAACATTCATAGTAATAACATATCTCAGTTCTCTGGGAGACTCTCACTTTCTGCCCTATACTTAATTTTCCCTAAAGCAACTTGCTAAATGCATAGCTAATGTAATATTTTAAAAATTATATGTGATCTTTTTCTACATAAAATACAAAATTTAAAAAGCCCTCAGACAGGTGAATTATAAGTTTTGTTTCTGAAAACTAGAGAAAATAGGAGGAGGAAAAGGGGAGAATGTTATATAAAAATCATAAAATGATTTCCTCAATATAGATTTACTTTGATCTCCAGGGTACTAAGATTTAAAATGTGGGAAACCTCCATAAAAATCCATATTTCCAACCTCTTTGAAAAACTGAAAAATGCATAATAAAACCTGAAAATCTAGTACCCACAGACCAACATTCTTGCATGAAAACGGTTGTCTGGCGACTACCTCAACTGAATCCTGCATAGTATATGCACTCCTGTTCACCACTACTCTGTTTCAGACACCAAGGTCAAGAGCACCTACCCTGGCTTTTGCCTACACTTAGTCAGCTTCACTCCTGTATGCTATCTAATTTTCTTCTTTGGATGTCAGAGTAGTAGAGTTTGGAATACTTGACTTTGGCTTGACTGAGGCTTTGTGTCCCCAAGGCACTGAATATCTTTCACCTCAAAGCTTTACCTCCACATAGTCCCTGAGCCAATGACACCTAAACCTGAGGGTGAGATCAGAAATGTGTTTCCTCCTCCTGAACTACTATCCCAGAAAACCTAAAATCGCCTCACCAAGTAGCACTTTGTTTCCAACTCCCACTCTTATTCCAGGCCATGAATTCTGGTATTTCTTGAGCCTTTCTCCTCTAATGTTAGAGCACTCCTGGAGATGCCACTAGCCAGGGACCAAAAATGCCATCCTCCCAGTCCTGGCTACCAGCAGTCTTTCACCTAAGGACCAAACCCTGCCATGCTGAGCTCAGGAGATCTTTTTTTCTAATCTGTAGACCAGCCATTTAGAAACATGCAGTGAATGAACTCTTGAAATGTAGCTAGTTCAAACTGAGATATTCTCTAAGTATAAAACATACATGGGAGTTCCAATATTTAGTATGAATGAAGCATTCCAACTATTGTATTAGTGATTTTATATTACTCTTGTATTAAAATGACAGTATCACTTGATATATCATGTTGAACAAAATATATCATTCAGTTTAATTTCACCTATTTCCCTTTCTTTCTTTAATACGGATACTAGAAAATTTAAAGTCATATATGTGGTTCGTATTCTAGTTCTGTTGGATAGTGCTACTTTAAAACCACAAAGACAACAACTGCCCAAAGAGTTATGCATCTCCTTATTGTCACTCTATTGACCTGTCCCTTACATGCAAGCAAAGCTTGCAGCCAACAGCTCTGTCTCACTATCTAAAAAGCAAGAGATTGTTCTATCTAAGCTCTTCAGGTAGCTTTTCATTTAAAAACTCTCCTTTGCTATGTGTGGTCCCTCCCATATGTAATTATATTTACTGAGTTCCCATACTTATGTGAATGAGTACAGGGTGTGTTGGTGTACATGTATGTGCACATGCATGCTTACACATGGACAGCCAGATGTGTATGACAGTGCAATGGTGTGGGAAAGAAGATGCTCGCTCTCTGCAAAGGAAACCTTGAAGCAAATTACTGTCTTGCACTCACCACGGATAACAGAGGGTGCCAATCAGAGGCAGTGAGCCACCCCTGCCATCAAGAGGCTCTGAAAACAGTGATAGTAAGGAGTGAGGTCCCCTAGCAAAACCTAAGTACCAGATTTCAAAGGAAAGCTAACTATTTGTAGGGATGATGGGGGTAGGACATAAGTGTAGCGGGTCGGTCCTTTCACAGTTTTGGTACAGTCCATTTAAACCAATCTGAATCACAGAAACTTTGAATGATCTAAAAATTGAAGCTGTTACTTGCACTAACACAACAGGTTTTGGTTAATGAAGCGTTGCTGTCTGTCACCTGGCCTTTTCCCTCCATCACCAGGGTTTCTGGTTTTGGTGGTAATTCTGCAAACAAATGAATGAGGTGAAAGGCTTGCTACTCAAATGTGGCCCCTAGAACAGAAGCAGCAGCAGCACCCCCAGGAGCTTGTTAGAGAAATTCTCCAGCCCTACCTGAACTCAAGTCAAAAAGACCAATGAATTTCTGCTTTGTTACAAGAAAATCCTTATGTAATTTGTGTAACCATTAAAGTCTGAGAAGTTAATGAAGTTTAACCTGATTATATTATTTATTTGCCTAATAAACTCCTTTGATAAATAAACAATGGCAGCATTTCATCTGAGTTAGAGTCTCTGAAATTTATCCCATTGGGGATCTGTTTTTCTTTTTCTTTGAACTGTAGCTAATAATACAGAATGTTTTGCAAGTAAATCAGTGGCTCCAGGTGGTTCTTGGATGGGTGCCTTGTAACAAGGCTATAAAAAGCTAGATTTTTCTCTTATAAGTTTCCAACTTAACTATTCCCTGAGGCAAATGGTTTTGGCTTAAGGGAGGCAAATAATTTTATGTAAGAGATGAATATCTACATAAACAATGTATGACCCCTGTGTAAGTCAAAATAAGATGGGAAATTGCCAAAATCAACTTTATTTCAGAATATCACAAGCTGACAAATGAATACAGGCCTTTTGCACCAAAACTGAGAAAAGCAAATTTAATCCACATACTTTTCATATTGGTTAAAACTTTTCTATTCTCAATAAAAGCTTCTCTGTCTTTCTCCCTATTACTCATTTTATGTCTTTTCCAGAGCTTATAAGGGTGCTGATTGATTTCCTGATAATTTTCCCACTTATTTACTCCAGTCATGGTGCAAAATAAAATACAGGAGAAGTGTATTTAGTGTTTTGAAATAAAGTACTAATTCCTCTGTGAAATTCACTGCAAAACAACTTTGTGTTTCAAATATAAAGTCTCGAACTTAACAGAAATTCCCCAGACAGTAAAAACAATCCAGGAAAATATATTTATATTTATAGTATTATAAACCAATCAATTTGTATTATGTATCATAACATAATATCAATCATTTGAATGATCACAGATTAATATACTATGTCTTTGAATTCAGTGTTTATTGACCACCTGCAGTCAAGATGCTTATATATTTGTATCTGATTGATTACATAGATTTTTATGAAGTAATTATACTTGATATTTGGTTTCATGATATTTGGAAAATACAACTCATAAAGAGAAGATACACATAAAAACCTGTCTAAATCCACATTTATAATTCAAAATACATATTTTTGATAGCAAAAACTAACAATTAAAAAGTAGACAAAAGACCTGAATATACATTTTTTTCAAAGACATACAAATCCACCAGGTGTAAAAACATCTCAACTTCAGTAAATCTCAGAGAGGCACAAATCAAAACCACAGTGAGATATCACCTCACACCTGTTAGGATAGCTATTGTTAAAAAGTCAAGAAACAGAGCTATTGTGGTGGTTCATGCCTACTGGGAGGCTGAGACAGGGAGATCGTAAACTTGTACCCTGCCTGAGCAGTTTAGCGACTTAGCAGAACCCTATCTCAAATGGGGAGGGGAGATATAGTTCATTGGGAAGGCCCTGGGTTCAACCCCGAGTAGTACTAATAAATCTTTTAAAAGATAGGGGATTCAGGTGTTGGCTAGGATATGGGAAAACGAATATGCTTGTATACTGTTGGTGGGAATATAAACTGCTATAGTCATGATGAAAAACAAAATATAGCCATCCCACTCCTGGGCACAGATCCAAAGGAAATGAAATCAGTATCTTGAAGAGACATCTGGACGTGGTATTGCAGCGGTATTAGTAATAGCCAAGAATATTAACCTAAATTTACATCAGTACATGAAAATGTACACATACACCAAATGGAATATTATTGAGCCATAAAGTAGAAGGAAATATTGTGTTTTACAACAATGTAGATAAACCTGGAGAGCACTGTACTAAATGATACAATCCAGACACACAAAAATAAACTCAGTATACTCTCACTTACATATTTAATCCCTTTTAAAATGTTGAAGTCATAGAATCTCAGAGGTGAGAGTGGAGAAATAAGGAAATGTTGGTTAAAAGGTATAACTTTTCAGTTGTAAGATGAAATTACAGACATCTAATGTACCACATGGTGACTAGATACTAATAGTATATCACATACCTGAAATTTTTAAAGAATAGGCTGAGTTCTTACTACATACAAACTCATAATGGTGTGGTGATAGATGTGTCGGTTTGATTGTGATAATCATCTTACAATACACATCAAATCACCACATTGCATATCTTGAATATATATAATTTTTATTTGTCAAATGCACCTCAATGAGGCTGGAAGAAAAAAAAAATATCACCCTCCCTTCCAATGCAACTGAAACACATGGAAAAGGACATGTTGCCATAGTGACAAGTGTCCTTAACTCCTGACCTTGAACTTCACCTGGACCTAGACCTGTCCTGCCTTCAAGAAGCCATATTGTATTTCCTCAGATGAATTATTCCTTCTCTCCTCTGGACAACTATATCACACCTTTTCCTCTCTTCTCTAACCTTCATTATCTCCTCACCCATCTCACTCATTTGATGACCTTTCTTCCCGTTTCTCTGAGAAGTGGAAAGAACTGGAAGAGAAAATCTAAAGGTCTCTACCACCCAGAAGACTGAGGGTGGCCTGCTTATTACTTGCTTGTCAGAGCTGGCTAGATTGCCATGCTTTGTTATTGCCGTTATTTGTTTTGTTTTTGTTTGTCTTACCACCTGGGGGCACCACTTACCATCTCCTTCTTATCTTCCTGGAAGTGTACATCCACGAACATTTTCCCAGCAACGTAAGGGAGTGCACTTTCAATAAAGTTGACACATTTGTCCCACTGAGGCAGCAAAGTTGTGGTCCCCTGAATTACCTGTGGGAGATAATCAATCTGGTTGAGCTTCATTTCGATAAAACGTATGATCAACAAAACCTTCAATTCACCTAAATAAAAGAGTCTACAAACCTTGCACAACCCAACTCATATGCATGTGTTAGACAACAGGGTAAAGGTGAAATCAGATAAGGAAAAAAATTCTGCCTCTCCCTAGGTATATCTAAAACTAAATGAAAATGTTTCGACAGAGGGAAAATAACGTATTTCACCTTTCCTTCTGAATTTTTCCACTAGTTTAAGGATCTGGAAAATGGAATCCCTTTTCTGTGATCAGAAGATATAGGAGGGGATCATGCTCATGTCCAAATCGTATTTAGTGTCCATTAAGAACTGAAGTTCCAACAAGAAAGTTCAAGGATCAATAGTGATTAAAATTCCTGCCATCTAGCATTTCTTTGCTCTGTGTGGTATACTCAATGAGGCAGATCAGGAGAGTGTGGCCACCAACAACCAATCTAGGGAGCATATTTACACTGTGTCACAGCAGAGGACGCACTGATAAACAAGAAAATACAGATGGAAACGCTTTTCCCATCTGTCCTGATTATACCATTATAGGAAAACATTTACAAACAAGTAAGGAACTTCCAGAGCAAGATTTGGAGGGTTCAAAAGTTTACTCGTAGGGATGAAAACAGAGGGAAAATGTCATTTAAATTGTCCCTGGAGGCTGAGGATGTAGCAGGCAGGCGGGGGAAAAGGGGAAGCTCTGAGGATGGTGAGTACAAATGTCCCTTGCACAATATAAGCCCCAGGTAGTTGGAGGAGGGCAAAAGTGATTAATGCTTAAACTCACCTTTCTTCCTCTACTTTCTGATAACATGACCCCTGACAAAGGTGATGGATGAATCTATTTTTAAAACCTCTAGAGAAAGAGATCCTACAACCTTCTTTGGCAACTTAAGATTATATTTAGCACTTCACACTCAAAAAACCTTCCCTCATATCTAACCTCAAATTCTTACACACTACTTCTTACACCTTCCTCTCTCCCTCTCTCAGTCTCTTCACAGTGGGGGTGCAGAGCAGCTGGGTACTGTCTTTTATGTAATCCATAAAAGATAAAAATATACTCACACCAAAAAAGTCTACTGGTTTTGTGTCTTAACAATTTGATATGACCTAAATATATGTAGTTATTTTATGGTATCCTCTATAAAGTGACTGTTTATTTTCAGTTTTTATTAGTGCACGTTTGCAAAATGTAATGATTACATTCCTTGTGGGCAGTTGGCACAGGTATCTGACATACCTCAATTCTCTTTTCATCCAGTTGTCCTCCCTTCTCTCCCACCTCCATCCCTTGGTCCCATTCCTGTTTGCATACAAATACATCTCTCTATTTCCTATTATCTATCTTTTATTTTGCTTTTATATTTTTCAATATAAATATCACATAATTTCTCTTATATGAGAAGTCCAAATATAAATAAAGTGACTTTCTATCCTAGTGACGTTAAAGGGTCAAGATATAGCCAAACAATTGCACTACTTTTTAACTGCAATGGCCCACTAAGAATTTCTTTACCTAAGCAGTTGTTTTAATAACTAAAATTACTATTAAAAGAAATCAAAGCTTATGACATTTGCTATTCAAAACTTTAACTAGATAGAAAAATGAAATACTTTTCAAAGTCACAAAATTTAGTAAGTCCTCAAGTAGTAGCAGAATTGTTAAAATGCAAGCCTCAGAAACATGGATAAGAATAACATCTGTGTCAGTCAGGAGGCAGCAAGAACAGCCAAGGAGCAAAGACTCAAGAGCCGGGTGAGTGGGGAAAAAGAAATCAATTGTTGGCACTTAAGTGAGGTCTCTCAGGAGATGCAACTGGGGTAGGTCTCATGGGCCCAGGAAACTTAGTATAGACTCAAGGTTGAAGATTTAAATTATTTAAAAACAAAATTATGTCAGGTATGGTGGCACATGCCTGTAATCCCAGCACTCAAGAGCCTGAGGCAGGAGGATTGCTGTGAGTTCAAGGTCAGCCTGGGCTACACAGTGAGTTCTAGACCAGCCTGCATTACAAGGCAAGACCCTGTCTCAAAAACAAGGCATAAAAACAAAATTATAGCCCCAAATTAAAAATGAAATTTGCAATCTAATATATACTTCTTGTGCATTTTGAATATTCAGGACACTGAAAATAAAAAGTAGCTCGATGCAATAGATTAAAAAAACTTATCCCTTCAGTCTAACTCAAACCTTGTCCTCCTTGATCAATATATCCCCTGTCCCCCTGTCCCCTTCCCTTCCTCAGCCTTCGGTCATCACCATTGAGCTGTTTCTAAGAGATAAATTTTTAGATCTCATGTATAAATGAGATCATATAGGACTTGCCTGTCTCTATTTGAAAGCTATTTTAGATCCCACATGTAAGTGAGAACATACTGAATGTGTCTTTCTGTGCATCGTCATAATATACATAGTAATAATAATTGTATATTTCAAATTTTCTAAAATATATTTTAATGTTCTCAACACAAAAATATACCTTAGTAAAAAGATAAATGTGTTATCTTGATCAAATCTTTCCATAATGTATACATAGCTCAAAATATCACCACATATTACCCCCAAAGTATATGTACGTATCCCTATTACAATTTGTCAGTGAAAATTAAAAACTAAATAGAAATATAAATCCTTTAAAATGTAGTTACAAACATACCACTAATGAATTTTAAAACTATAATTAAAGTTTCCCAGTTTAAACTACTGGGAAAATGAGAAGTCAATGGATAAGTGGAGAAGAGTTTGGAAACAATACAATGGTTTTGTCATTGTAAATATACTGTATTCAAAACTGTCAAGGTAAAGTTTGAATGTACTTTTTGGGTAGGTAAGTTACATCTGAATGAAAAGAATTTTAAAAAGTAGAGTTTGAGCTACAAATTCCCTGTTTCACCCCCAAAGATGATTTTTATATAATGCACAGACTGTTTCGGCATGTAAAGTTATCTAGTGAGGTAACACTACAATTTTCTTAAACTCACCCGTGAGAATTCCAGCCACCTATATTGAAAGCGCCTGCTAAGGTTTGGAATTCTGGAATAAACCATTCTCCACACCAAATAGTTGGCAATGGTCCTGTTAAGAAAGAAAAGTTCACATTTATTGTATTTTGGGTCAATATCTGATGCTCTGCAGAGCACCTTCAGAAAAATGATTGGCAGTGTTCCACGGAGACACCTCTGGTTCATAGCAAAATGCAGCATTTTCTCTTGAGAAATGACATGAGATGATACAATGTCAATGAGCACAACCAAAATTGGTTTGCCTCTCACCACCTACTACAGCTAGATGAAATAAAGATTCCAGCCCCAGGCCTACGAGTGTACATTTTGCTTTTCCTCTCAGGGCAGAGAATCCACTGTTACCCAGCTTTTCATGTCAGGAAATTGTGAATACCTCTGAATTACAGGTGGCTTGATACAATTCACACCTATTCTTTGCCTTCAGAAACTAACAACAAAATATTGACTAATATCAATCATCTAAATTTGCACCCTGGTTTTATACCCTGTAATCTCAGGCAAGTCACTTAAGCTCTCTGATTTATCTTTCTTTATGGTACAATTATGATGTTCCCTGCCTCACAAGGTTATCGTGAGGTTAAAATATATTTAAAAAATGCTTCTCAAGGAGTAATTTCCTAAGCTTTTTGTTGTTGTTCATTTCTAAATATATGAATAATCTCATATATTTCTGTAATGCACATAAAACACATTTTTAAAACTCTGTTGCATTTTAGGTGTTGCCTTTTTCTACAAGCAAAAGATGCCCTGACCTCAGAAAGATGTCTGATCTGAGTTAATTTCTAACTTAATAGTGATGATGGATTTTTAATGACCCATCCCCTCTCAGCTGCGCCATTACCATGGTGAATAATAACACAACGTCCTGAAATGGCTCTTGGGTCCATCTGAAACTTGACAGCAGTACAGCATAATGATGCTAACCAGCTCATCAAAACCACCCACACTCTTATTTGCATGGAGCTCTAACTGGGGGACCTGCACTCTTATCAGAAACAAATTTTGCAGCATACATTCCAGTAAATAGATGTTTGCTTTAATTTATATAACAAAGTAACTACTATATTAGGGATATTTAGACAAATACAGAAATAAACCTTTTAAAAGATAAAATCAAATTATTTTTCAAAAGTCAGTAATCTTTCAGACATTATTGTCATTCTTCAAGATGTATTATCCATTTAGGATTAGGTTAATACAACAGTGGATATAGATTCACATTTTATATAGTCTTAACTATTTAAAAACTTCTGATGTAACCATGTCAGGTTAGCATTTTCCATCCTGTAGTCTAGATAACTAAGATGACATACTAGCATAGGATAAGGGTCTTTTCTAACATTTTCTTGTTCTGCTTACATTATTCTTGCTTCTGCTTACATTATTAATAATAGCTTTGACTTCTGTTGCCCTGTAGTAATTTTTAAGCCACTTGTCTATGTCGGGAAGATTAAATTAGATAATAAAACTGATAAATCTACATGTGTATACAAAGCAACTCAAAATTATTTTCGATCAATTCAATGGAAACTAAACTGAGAGAGAGCTCCTGCTATGGGTGCCATCAGGATCAAGTGATCAAGTCATTGCCAATTATGTAGCATTTTTGTAAAGCCTCAATATTTTTTCAATTGAAAAAGAAGGATCTAAAAGTACTAAATTTTTCTTCAGTTATGGCTTAGATCAGGAATGATCCACATAAAACTCTGGTGTACTCAGAGACAAAGCTTTTGGAAAGTGATTGGATTTTGGGGTTGCTATAGTTGAATGTGATATCAAGAGGCAGAGCCTGACCACAAGAGGCAGGTCACTGTCCCCTGCTTCTCCCTTCTCTGCTTCCTGGCCTTTGGAACATGAGTGGCTTTCCTCTGTGGCACGTTTTCAATGTCCTTTCTGTACTTAAGCCTGACAACCATGTACTGAACTCCTAAAAATGCAAGCCAAAATAAATCTCTCCTTTAAGTTGTTGGTGTCAAGTATTTTGTCCCAGCTATGAGAAAGTAGCTAAGATATAATCTTTCTTTCATTGACTCACTTAACACATTCTGAGCACCCATATATGCACTAACAGTTCTAGGTGCTGGGGAGATGGAGAGATGATAAAGATGTATTCCCTGATCTCCTAGAGTTACAGCTGAACAGGAGAGATGAGGTAAGTGCATAAATAATTATTTGGGAGACCGTAGTACTTCTGGGTAAAAGTGCATGTCAGACACTTTGCTAGAAGAACGGCAGACCTCACCTTGAAAGACAAAGTTAGGCTTCATGAAAGGGACAGGATCTGAGCCTTTCCTAAAGGCTGGAAGGCTTTGGCGTATGTAGCAGAGTATGAACAGGCTAACAACAGAGGGATAGGCTATGTACTGGAGGCAATAATGAGCACATTCATTGCTCAAGAAAGTAGGTAGAAAGACCAATCATGCTGGAGAGATACAGGCAGCAATCATAGTCTAGAGCAGTGGTGACGAACCTATGGCACACATGCCATAGTGGCCTGTTTATAACACTGAAAGCCCTGAAAGGTTTTCCATCATTGGCCTAGAGTCTAGGATGTCAGTAAAGTAGGATCTTGGCCCTATGTAAGATCTGTGGTTCCTTTGTCTTTAAAATACTGCTTGCTGCATTATGAGCTATCCTGTTTCTGTAGGCATAGAGTAAAAGGTCAGTGCTAGCAGCTGTCCTTCCATGAATTCAAAAGGGGTGGTGATGAGCCAGATCAAGTGAGGAAGTTGTAGAGTAGAGCACAAATCTTGGTGATGGAAGAGGCAGTGTGGCAGAGGTAGAACTGGTCTTCAGAAGGAGGGGACTTTCCAGCCTGCAGCATCTCTCCACATAGGCTTCTCACACTATCTATAATCCTTACATCACAACTAGAAGAGGCATTTATCATACACATTTTACATTTTATGTATTAAGAAATTTGAGGCTTAGGACCACTAAATAAACTCCTCATTACAGAATGTGTGTCTCAAATTAGTAGAATTGCCTTGGGACTTTTTTAAAGGTTAGGCTACACCAGGCCAATTAAACGACAATCTGTAGTGCAGGAACCAGCATACATATTGTTTTTAAATCTTCCTACCAAGTCCATTGTGCAGCCAAGTTGCAGAACCACTGTAATACCTCTTGGAAGCCAGACCAGAGACAGACGTGTCCAACTCTAAAGCCTGTGTATTGTTCCCTACACCATTTAGCAGTGAATGAAAACCTAAATTTTCCTGGCCAGACACTGAGACCCCAAAAGATTGAAAAAAAATGTTCTTTGCAGAAATCTGTGAACACAAATAAGAATAGTCTGGACTTCCTGGCCAATGCATTACTAGGATGATGGCCGAACAATGAGACCTCTGAGAGCAGGAAGATGGAATTCTGAGAAGCTCATACAGCAAGACAATGGTGTTGGTGACTTGCTGTGGTGTGTTATAAATATGCTGACAGGATGCTATGGAGCACAGCTCAGGAGTGCTAATACTACTACCTCTGGAACAGATATGATCATAATGACTGAAGCACTGCCACCTAATGCTCAGATACATCAAAAAAATCAAACTCAGAAATAGTCCTTGAAAATAATACACAATGTCTTTTTTTCTCAAAAAGCATTTTCAGCAGTATGGTAATTTCCCCAAATGGCAATAAATAAAGTAGAGGAAAACAAAGCATCCCCAAAGAGAAACCACCACTAAGAAAGCAACCTAAAATCCCTCCCCAAAAGCCTCTGACTCAGATTTGGTTTTTTTAAGAAGTTTTTGCTATCTCATGTTCTCAATTAACAACAGCTTACATTTATATTACATTAAGAGACGAGAAATACTTTCTTTGATGCTTATGACAGAACTTTGGAGTCGTTGTTATCATTATTCCTATTTTCAGATGAAGAAAACATAAGTAAAAGGCTAAAGAAATGCCCAATCCAAGACCAACATTAATGTCTTTCGCACTCAAGCTTACATGTGCTCCTCCCCATCACACAACCTGAGGTGAACTAAGAGTCCTCAAAGATTGCAAAAGCCAAAGAGATCTTCCTAAATCTCATAGGTCACTTATGCATATGCCTAAGACAGTAGTTCTCAAAGTGTGTAGAGCCAGCAGACTCAGTGGCTCCTGAATACTTAATAGAAAATTCCTGTGCTCCCCCCATAAGCCCTAGTAAATCAGAAACTGTGGGAACCAGGACAAGTGCTCTGTTTCAGCAAGCCCCCAGGGGGATTCTAATACACATCAGGTACTAGTATAGGAAAACTCCATCTTCTCATCTTGCTGCACATTCTGCTCAACCAGAACTTCCTAATCCCTAGATGGATGCATCTGAAACTTCAATGTGTATATAAGTCATCTGGGGGATAGTATTAAATTGCAGATTCTGATTCAGTAGGTCAGTGTCAAAGCCTGACATTCTGCATTTCTGACAAGCTCTCAGGTCATGCCCATACTGCCCTTCTGAGGAGCAGACTCTGAGGTCCAAAAAATAGCATATTTTCCAGATAAGATACTGGGGTCACTTGGCCAGCCAGAGTTAGCTTACTTAATGTACAGTGTGCTTGATTTATATGAAAATAATGCTGAAGACAAGCAAGCTCACAAGGGCTTGGCAAGACTCCCAAAGGTCTTTATATCTCACTCCCAGCAAGAAAAGTATTGGATAGGAAGAATGTGGAGGTAGGTAGTATTGGCTGGGAAGAATCAGAAATGGAGAGATGTGATGAGGAGGACAGAAAGAGGGAAGTCCATAGTGGCCTTCTCAGCAGGTGATATACTAATAAATGTTCACCAACTGCCTTGCCAAAATAAAAATGATTTACAGCATTTGCTAATTTCCATGATGTAAAACTTCAAACTATTGATGAGAGATAACTGAACAGAGAGGTAGGAAGAGATGCAAGAAACTTTGAGAAATCCATCACACCCCTGTCTCCTCGCCCTCTTTTCACCCCAATAACTACCTGCTTATCTCCATGGTGGCTTCCAGTTCATGTCTCCAATGGTCCTTCCCTGGCCAGCTACTTATTTGAACTGCAAGGGCAGTGTCTGGAATCACCCCTCTAGCAAAGC